TTGGTCTCTGTATCTATCCCTCTGCAAATACCAGAATCTTGATTACTATAGCTATATATAAGTCTTGAAATGGAGAAGACTAATTCCTCTTTCTTTTTCAAAATTGTTTTATCTACTCTCCTTTCTTTGCCCTTCCGTATAAATTTTAGAATAATTTTGCCTATATTTACAAAAAATCTTGCTAGGATTTTGATAGGAATTGCATATATATCAATCTGTTTCTTTTCTCTGAAGTAGCCAGGAACAACTTGGCATGCTTTTACTTCTCTTTTCCTTTCTCTGCTACCTCACTTTTTGTGTTTGTTTGAAGTTTCTGTTTTGGAACTGATAATTACTAATTTTTAACGTTTGTAATAGTTACTGGATCATCATATTTCAATCAAGTACATTTTTGGCATATTGCTAATGTTGGCTAGGAGACCAGCAGTTTCTCCAGACTGCCCATCACCAGTCACACCATGTGGGGTTGCTCTATGATTATATTCTGGCAGCAATAGCTTTGTTAATAACACAGTGGTTTACATTTTTATCTTTCATTCAAATTCTTCCTTTGCCCTGATTTCCTAGCCTAAATTTCCTTTGGCTCTGAGCCCCTTGTTAATTTGCAAAGATAGATTAGGCAAACAGAAATCAGCATCCTGGGATTATTTTCTACCCTTATCTAGGAGTTTATGGTTTTGATATACATGGGAAGATTTTGTAAAGCAAGAAGTTGGTAGCTTTAAATAATTCTAGGCTTAAAGTTCATCTGCAACATTTATTATTTTGGGTTTAAAAAGTTGTTGATGGTTGTGAGTGCTTGTTAGAACATAAATTCAAGGAGTTGTGTTAGATGCTGTATTTGCAGAGATACGTAGACCCTGTCCTCAAAGATTAGAATCTGTTGGGTGAAGTAGACATATACACAGATAATTTCTTTGGATTGAGGTAAGCACAGTGATAGCGACATTAGGATATTTTTGGAATAGAAAGGGCCCTTACTAGGGAAGGAGGAATACTGGGGAAGCCATGCTTGAACTGAGTCTTGAATGGTGAATAGAAGTTAATCTGGTGAAGGTGGTGATGGAAGGACATTTCAGGCAGTTAGAATAGCATGAACAGAGGCACATAGAAAGAAGCAGCATACTAGGATAGCAGTGGGGGAATTACAAACAGGTTAGTGCTGTTCGAGCAGCAAGTGTGAAAGGCAGGAAGTAGCAAGATATGAGGCATTAAAACTGAAAGATAAGTCAGCTCAGATCTTGAAGGACCTGTTGTGTTCAGCTTGGACTTGATCTTCAGTGGTTCTCAAACCTATCAGACTCGATGTCTCCTTTTTAAAGTAAATATTTTCTGATGTCCCTTTGTTATCCTTAAATGAGATGCATGTATAATTATAATTCATATATAATAAAATTAACACGCCTAATTTCTAACAAATCAATATGATGACATAAGTGTAATATAAAGGAAAGTTAATGAGAAAAATAAAATAATAAAGTAATTTGAAATGTGTATTTTAAAATGTAGATGTGCAAGCATTACTGCATTAGTACATATGATAGATTAATCTGATACTAGCACCTATATGTAGAATCACTGTCAATGTGCAGCAATCAATGCAGATGTATATAGATGTATTGTACTGGTAGTTAAGATACTTTAAATGGTATTGCCACTGGTAATGAGATTTTCTAAAATGCTCAACAACCTGTTTGTAAAGTTCTGACCAGACCAAAGTACAAGTTATATTAGTTGCATTATTGGAAAATTTGGTGTTTATTAAAACTGTGCAAAAAATACTTTTTTATGTAAAAAGATAAAAGATTAATTTCTAGGATCAAGTAATTGTAAACAGACTTTTCCACATAATGTTAGATGGGACATTGCCAAGTCACGTGGGACATGGGTCAGTTTGTTCTGTGAGATTGCTTGAGCAGGGGTTGGCAAACTATATCCTGCAGGCCACACTGCCTTTTTTTTTTTTTTTTTTTTGGTGAGGAAGATTGGCCCTAAGCTAACAACCATTGCCAATCTTCCTCTTTTTGCTGAGGAAGATTAGCCCTGAGCTAACGTCTGTGCCCATCTTCCTCTATTTTGTATGTAGCCTGCCGCAACAGCATGGCTTGATAAGTGGTGCATAGGTCCATGCCTGGGATCTGAACCTGTGAATCTCGGGCCGCTGAAGCAGAGTGCGTGAACTTAACCACTGTGCCACTGGGCCGGCCCCCACACTGCCTATTTTTGTATAGCCCATGAGCTAAGAATGGTTTTTACATTTTTAGAGAGTTGGACCAAAAAAAGGAAGAATACATAACAGAGATGGTAACACCTTTACAGAGTTTGCCAACCCCTGTTTTCTTGAGCATTTTAGGATACCCAGCATCCCTAGCTCCCACTCTCTAGATGCCAAGAGCACTCCAGTCACTAGGAAACCAAACATAGCCCCTAAAATTTCTCTAGTGCCTTTGGGAGCAATACTACCTTGTTGAGAACCACTATCTTAGTTTACCAGTTTTCAATTTTTTATTCCTCTGTCACACACTTAACAGATAGTAATACGTGCATGATATATTTCCATGCAGAGTTGTTGTGTTTGTCATTTTCCTTTTTTTCTTCCATTCAAGGAAACAATTAAAATGAGGGAGGAAATTGTTACTATAAGGATAACCTTGAAAACCCTCCACTTTATACATGTAAAAATAAATCTTTACAAACTTCAGTACTTTTACTACTAATAATAACATTACTTGTAACTTATTCATACCTCATAGTAAAATGTTTCACAACATCCTGACTGATAACCACTGCAGCAGGTAATAACCAGCTATTGGATAGCTTTAAATGGGAAAGTGACGGGATCATAGACTTGAGGAGGTACAAGCCTAGTTCAGGTGCAAGATAGCAAGGGCCTCTACGAGGTAGTGGGTACACAGCAGAGGGGACATTATTAGAGAATTATTTCAGATATAAAAATCGGTAGTACTTGATGATTGAAAGGTTATAGGCATTAGTTCTTAACCTTTATTGCCCATTAGAATCATTTAGGAAGCTTTTAAAGAATACCACTGCCCGGGCCCCACTCTAGAATTTCTAGAAATCAGAATTTCTGGTATGGAGTCTGGGCACTGATATTTTTTAAATGTACTTCATGATTCTAATGTGCAGCCACTGTTGAGAACCACTCATTCAAGTTGTGGAGGAAAGGGAAGAATTGAGGATAAGTAAGTACCAGGCTGCCAGCGTAGGTTACTGGTAGATGGAGATGGCATGCCTTGAGCAGTGTCTGTTCCGTGGTAGCTATTCAAATATTTCTTGAATTAAATGAAAATTGAGGACTTTGAACTCGAACCAAAATCAATTCCTCATTTAATTTCTGATTATTCTAAATTTGGATGATTTGACCCCAGTTCAAGATACTATTGACTGGAACCCAACCAAAATAACTTCTGTCACAAGTGAAGTTAAATCAGAATAGATATCTCAATGTGATTTAAGGAAAAGAATGATACAAATCACCTGAGTTGTGATGTGATATTATAAAGCAAAGCGTCGATGGAAATAATTTGACTTAATTATAGTTTATTATACAAATTAATGCTTCTATTGAGTGGCATAGCCAGAGATTTCGGGTCCTCATACCTGGTACATAGGCAGGTATTCAGTAAATGTGTATTGAATTATAATGTGAAATAACTTTAATCTGTTGTAATATTTATTTATTGTAAAGTTGTAATATTTATCATATAATTTTTTTGTATTAATGGAGGAATAAAAGGCAGCATGTTTGTAGAAAGTCCTACTTTACCTATATTCTGCCTGTACACTGTCTACCTTTACATTCTTCTGTGCTCACTGCTACTACCCAAGTTTAATCAGGACTCTTGGTTTCAAATGATAGCAAGACAACTTAATTATCTTGAACAATAAATGGAATTTTTTGGTGCCTGTAGGTGGAAAGGATGCTGAGGTAACATACAGAATTGAAGGAAGATCTGCAGGAACCAGGGCCTTGGGGATTAGAGAACGAGATATCACTCCATTAGAACCCACTCTCATCTCTGCTTGGTGTCATTCTGTTTTATTGCAATCAGGCCTTTGCCAAAAGATCAAAGAGGCTGTCTTTAATCTCAGCCTCAAATCCTTCTGTTACCATGACCCCAAGAGGCAAGACCATTTCTCCTCCTGCTCAAAATTGGGAGATTTATTTGGATCAATCATTGTGCTCAGAGAAAGGAGGGTACTGTGATTTGTCTGGTTTGGAGCTCATGCCAACCCCCATGGCCAGGAGAGGATAAGGATATACCAAAGAAGAGGCAAGGGAAAGCTTGTCCTGGGACCAAATCATTAAGCGTCACTGTCCTCTCCAAGGCTCTGTCGCCCCAGCCCTCCAATGATTTCTTACTTCAGTTTAGCTGCTTACTGTTCTCAGAAGAGCAGTGGCCATTAAATTTTGAAAATTTATGGAAAAGCATAAAGTAGTATACAATTTGGGAGTAGGAGTGTTGTGAAAGAGCTATTTGACTGAAGATAAGCTACAAAGCTAAAATAATGCATTTATTTAACAAAATTTACTTAGTGCTTCTTACAGATTAGGTGTTGTATAGTTACAGTATATCAAACCAAGCCTGACTATAAGGCACTTTGAAATTATGTGAGATTTCATCAGAGAACTAATTAATTTTATTCTCCTCTTTTATCATTTTGCTTTTACATTTTTCTTTGATTTATTATTTCTCCACCATGGAACTGGATATTTAAAAATTAGATTCTGGTTATTGACAGAGAATTGAGTGACATGGAATTTTTAACAGCAGTAGCTTTTCTGATATTCAGTATTTGCCAAGGGAATATTTTTGTACTTATGAAGAGCTTATTCTCATTACTGTTACTTGCTGACCCTTTTTGAAAGCTTATTCAGTGATTAAAAATCACTCAAAATATGATGTTAAGAAGTTAAGAAGCTATCTTTTTCTAGTTATCTACCAAATTCAAATTTATTATTTTTTCTGTCATTATAGTCTATTGCATCTGCAGACATGGATTTCAACCAACTGGAGGCATTCTTGACTGCTCAAACAAAGAAGCAAGGTGGGATCACATCTGACCAAGCTGCTGTCATTTCCAAATTCTGGAAGAGCCATAAGACAAAAATCCGAGAGAGCCTCATGAACCAGAGCCGCTGGGACAGTGGGCTTCGGGGCCTGAGCTGGAGAGTTGATGGCAAATCACAGTCAAGGCACTCAGCTCAAATACATACCCCTGTTGCCATAATGGAGCTGGAAATAGGGAAAAGTGGACAGGTGAGTTCAATTTCATTTCCCTTTGTAAACTATATTTTCCATTACATATTAACCATACATTCAGATTGGTTTTATGTAATAGTCTTCTTTGCTAAGATAATAAGAATAATAGGAAAAGACTGTTTTCCTAGAATCCGTTTTCAGAGACAGAATCTTCTGAAAATTTGGATACTCCCAATGTGGATAGAGTCTGGAAACCAGCCTTAGGGTCCTGGTAGCTAGCTCAGAAGAACAAAATGGGGCAATAAGGTGATTGCACAGACAAGTTGGTCACTACTCCATTTTGGATGGATCTCAGAATTCTTGGCGTTTGGTCAGAATGCACAAGGCAATGATAGAGATGCTAAATAGAGACCAAGAATTGAGATTAAACAACATAGAACAAAACTGTCTCATCTAGTCATCTTTATAGGCAGTAAGATATAGGAGGCAATGTATCTTAATTATACTACTATATTGTTCCTAAAGACCCTAGTGTGCTCTCTCTGTCCTTGAGCCCACAAATAATTTTTAATTTGATCTTGATTATTTACAAAACAATGCTGCTTTTCCTTGCAGTTTCCACAGTCATTATAGCGCCAATTTTAGCATCTACATGGTTTTTCTTGAAGTTATTCAGTTTGTGCTCCGGATGACTGCCAGATCAGACTTTTAATGACCTGGTATATGTCTTTTGGGGGGAAAAAGCACCAACTTGTAATTAGAAAGAGAAAACCCAGACCACTGAATTAGCTAACCAGATTTATTTTCAGATGAATAATCAAAATAAGTGCTTCTATTACATCCTATAATAGACATTTATTTCTTTTCTTCTAATGATGAAAGCATTTTTTTAGCTGGCAGCTTCTCTCACATATTCCCTTCTTGAGTTTCTTAGGATTTTTTAGTATTTGTAGTTCCATGATGACTTTAATTTTAATTTAAAAGATAATTTCTTTAAAAAAATAATTTTTTCAAAATACATTTGGAGGAGGTTTTCTTCAGTTATTATAAAATAATGCTGATGACCTTTATTGACTTTGGTTTGTCTGACCCTAAAGTCCATTTTCTTAACCATTATGTTCTATGGCCTTCCTCTGATTGTTCCTAGATCAAAAATCTGACAGATTAGAAAGGTGTGATAGGTATACTTGTATATCTAAGTTTCACCAGCCATTGGTACTAAGCTATTCATTTTTTATTCTGGCAGTAGTGATTATTTTGTCTTTAAGTATTTATCACTTGGGCAGGAATATGAAAACATACATACCTATTTCAAGACTTTCCTAGAAAGCTATTATAGTATTTCTTTAACTTGATATACTCCTACTATTTCTTGAACTGGGGTTTATAATGTGTCTTTTGATTTTAGTATCTTACATACCATCTGAATTTATTGCTGCCACAGAGATTTTTAAATCTCTATGGTTTTTCTTTGATCTTGTCAGCCAAAGTGGCAAAAAAAATTTTTTTTAACAGTAAAATGATTTTTCAGTCAGTAAATCTAAACATCACTACAAATGATTTTTTGGCTTGCTCCAAGAACATTTCATGATCACTCAGAACAGGTTGGTAAACTTTTTTCTAAGAGGCCAGATATTTTAGGCTTGACAGCCATACAGTTTCTGTCACAAGTACTCAACTTTCTTGTTGTAGCTCAGAAGCAGCCACAGACAGTATGTAAACAAAAGGGCATTGTTGTCTTTCTAGAAGGTTTACCTGTCTCAATAGAATCATTAGGTCTTAGAAGTCAGAAAGTCCTTAAGCACTCATCTAAGGTGAATTACATAGGTGAGGTGGTATAGCCCCATTTTCTAGAGGAGATGTCTGAGACAGATAAGTGACTTGCTTAAGTAGGTGGTAAAGTGAAAGCTAAAATGGGTATCACCAAACCGATTTTTTCCAAAAACCGTTGATACCAACATTTAGAAGCTTTTGGTAGCTTCTCACAGTTTTCTCTGCCAAGAAATCATGTTGGTTATACAATATGGTAATCAAGAGCATTGATAGGAATATCCTTCAGCAATAAGAAGGAAGGAACTTCTGAAACACACAACAAATGGTTGAATCTCAAAATCATTTGCTGAGTGAAATAAGCCAGATAAAAACTCATTTTTTATCATAATGTATGATTTCACTCATAAAATCCTAGAAAATTCAAAGTCATCTATAGTGGCAGAAAGCAGATGCCTGGGGATAAGAGTAGAGGGAGGGATGGATTAGATTACAGAGGGGTGCGTGAAAACTTATAAAAGAGCGATAAAAATGTTTCTTAATTGTGGCAACAGTTTCATGGGTATATACATATATCAAAACTTATAAAATTGTGTACTTTATGCAGTTTATTGTACATTACTTATACTTCAAAGTTGTAAAAAAAATGGTCACTGTGAAAATGATTGAAAATGCACTTTAACCCACAAAATCCTTTGAATGCAAATTTATTCTTATGTTAAGAAAAATTGTAAAGAAAGAAGTAAATGATAATAGAACTTAGGCTGGCAGTAAAATATACAGCCCAGATTCTACAGGAAATATTTTTGTGAGACCTGGATTCTTGGTTAGTACTTCTGTCCGCTTCTTAGGTGAGTGTTAGTGTGAAATATTCCACTAAATCAAATTTCTAATTTATAAAACACCTATAGGCAGCAAAGTTAAAGTTATTTTCATGTTACTCTTGGATAAGTTTGTGAGAGAATTAGTGATCCTAGGATATCAAGAGGTTGCTTCCAAGAAGAATGACCAAGGTTTTTGAACTTGTGTATGTGTGTGTGTGTATGTGTCTATTCATATACTACAAAGCACCTAAATTACTGTCTTCAGTTTATGTCATTTAGTGGTTCTGAGCTATGGCTGCACATAAAATCACTTGTGGAGCTTTAAAAATTTTCATGCTCAGGACATACCTCAAATTAATTAAATAAGAATTTGTGGAGATGGAACCTGGGCATCAGTATTCTTTAAAGCTGGTGATTCCATTATTCATCCAGAGTTTAGAACCACTGTGTTCAAGGTAGCCAAATGAACTAATTTGAAATGTTAATAGAGCCTGTATCAAATTTTTACTGTGAGAATTCAATATGTGTTGGCGTGTTACTTCTACTTACCATAATTTCTGGAGTGCTGGGGGATCGTTTATTCAGAACTAGATGTGGTGGTGGTGGGTTTTTTGTTTTCCCCTCCCTATTTAAATTTCTTTCTCCAGCTCAGTTTGTCTGTATTACTTCTTTGTTTGGTCCAAAAAGTACATTTGACAATCAGCAGCCAAGTGCATGCATTAACTTTTTTTTTTGTTAATCACAATATATAATGTCTTTGGGATATGAGGAAACCAAAGTAATAGGAAAGTAACTAAGGCAGTACATTTATGGAAATCTGCAGAGCTAGAGAAAATGACTATGTGCTAGTAACCTAATTACTTTTCTTGTAGTGAATATTTTTATCCAACAGAAATAAAAATTTTGTAATATTAAAACGTGAATTCAGTTGAAAAGTACACAGAAAACTTTGAAGTGAACATTTCATGTCCAAAGGGAAGAATATCAAGTGCTTTACTTGCGTGGTTGAGATCCTATCATATTTGGTCATAAATCACTGAGAGACCCAGGCCTTGAGGACTGTTGGAATCTGGCTTGTGTCTTTAGGAAAGTTTTCTTGTTTTGCTTACTTAATTAACACCATTGTTGGTTTTCCTTTCCTGGGACTTAAATAGAAATTGTCATAGAGTGTTTTTTTTTAACAGTAACTTTTGGGGAGATAATTTATATGTTCAGTAGAGTATAATTTATAGTTGTTTTTTTTTTAAGGCTAAATTTTGGTATTTTATAAAGATGTGTTGGTTTTTCTTTGTGACTTCTTGTTTTTCAAGACCCGGTAAGACGTTTTGTGAGGAAACATTTAGCCGCAGCTTCGATGCTAAACCATTTAGTAATACATTATTTCTCCCTTCTTCCTCTGAGTTGTTCTTTCATATACATTTAGAGATGCCCTGCCTGTAGAGATCTTGAAATATCAAGGTCTGTTTCTTTATTGCCTTTTTTTTCCCTAAATGGCTAAGTTATTGCCTTTTCTAGATTAAATTTTAGTGTACCAAGCACTTCTCGAGTTTTGGGTTGTGTTTTCAGCAGACAGAGAGGGGAAGATAGAGTCTACTTTTAGTGATCTAATATTTTTCTGTCCAACTCGTCATATGCTCAATCTTGTTATTTATAAGCAGTTAGATACCAGGGATATGCAGTGATATACTCACTCTAATTTACAGAATCAGGGCCGGCCCCGTGGCTTGGTGGTTAAGTGCACGCGCTCCGATGCTGGTGGCCCGGGTTCGGATCCCGGGCGTGCACCGAGGCACCACTTCTCCGTCCATCCTGAGGCCGAGTCCCACATACAGCAACTAGAAGGATGTGCAGCTATGACATACAACTATCTACTGGGGCTTTGGGGGGAAAAAATAAATAAAATAAAATCTTTAATTTACAGAATCAAGACAGGTTAGACTCTGGGTTAAAAGGCCAGCATTTTCTCTGAAGTGTCGGTAAACATCTAATCTCAAAGGAAAGTATTCACTTAGTTTTAATTTCCACAATTCCTTTTAAAACTAAATACACTGATCTCCTTGTATAATTCTGGCTGGTAAGGAGTAAGAACCTGCAAAAACCTATGATTAAGAATTAATTTATGCTGAACTGTGTTATGCACCATTGTAGCTTCACAAGCCTGAGTAATGCCACCACAACGCCTTGCTTTGTGTCCTAGGAGAAGCAAAGTTTAAAACACACATATATATACACGCACTCACTCTCTCTCTCTCATTCTTTCTTTTTTACATACATACATACATTTATATGTATATGTATAAATATATGGAGAAATTTGTAAGGATGGGATGTAGAGAGTAAATAAAATGCCATTTTATTTTATCAACACTCAGCCACCATTTTGAGATCTTGTTGCCTTACTCCAAATAGCTATGGAGGGGAGCTTAGATATTTTATTTGGTTATATAAGCTGTAATGCTTGGC